GATTATCTAAAGCATAGGACAGATAAAGCAATGTTCACATTTTGGCATGGCACGAAGACTGAGCTATTTTGGGCTCGAAACTGTGGCTATTGGGGCTGGGACGGGTGGGTAATGAGTTGGACACAGTACCCGGACCCGTTATAATCATGTGACTATAAATAACAGATTAAACAATGTAATATGTTAGTCTTTCATGATTATATTGTCTTTGAAGATTTAGACATAATTTACAGTCACTTCTTTTGAATATAATACATGGTTAAGATCTTGAAAAACTCGAAATTTTACCTCCGGGCTGAAGAATATATTGCCATTTCTTGCAAATTTGATGTCAGGAATTAACATAACGGGTATCCGGGTAGGGTAGGGTATAAGGGGGCGGGATACTCGGGTAGAAAAATTGGACACGTCCCAGCCCTGGTGGCTATTATTGCAAGCCATACAGACAACATGGTTTATATACTTCCCGGGGAGCTCAGAGTCAAAGCTCGATTGCACCCGAATATACTGACCACAATAATGCCATGAGTATACACTTAGTGAATGTACCCGTTAAAATCCGGGTAAGAATTGGTCTTCAGTAACCCATGCTTGTCGTAAAGGCGACTAACGGGATCGGGTGGTCAGGCTCGCTGACTTGGTTGAAACATGTCATCGTATCTCAGTTGTGTAGCTCGATGTTCGTGCTGTTGATCACTGGATTGTCTGGTCCAGACTCGATTATTTACAGACCGCCGCCATATAGCTGGAATATTGCTGAGTGCGGCGTTCAACAACCAACCAACAACAACTTGGTGAATGGAATTTGGTTCATTAGAAATGCATTATTACCATTACCATCATCATCATCATCATCATCATCATCATCACTTACAGAATGCAGCAAATAGGTCTCGGGTGATCCTTCCACAATATTTTAAGACTCTTCATCAGCTCAGGGCCCCTTTGACCTTCACAACAAATGGGACTACCTCCAGAAATCGCTTACCTGGACAGTACCAAGAAAAGTTCGGAGAATGGGATGACTCCAAAACATTGCAGCCGGCTGCATTACCCAGAGAGCCCTAAGGGGCCATTCATCATTTATGGCTAGAGGGGGTGATGATGATTATTATGGAGAAGCATGTACAATGTGAATGCCCCCACCCCCCCTAAAATATATGTACAAAAGAAGTGACCCCCTGCATGTCATGTACAAATCAACGACTCCCCCCTCCCTTTACATAATTTCTAAGCATAATTTTACACATATTCTTATGTACAAAATTGATGACCCCCCTAGTTAGTGTGTACAAAATTGATGACCCCCTAGCTCGCCATAACAAACTGGGTGATCCCCCCCTTAAAATCATCATCTTTTTTCTCTCTCTGGATCTCAAAACCCCCCGACACGGAGAAGACGGTAAAAACCGATCGACCCACGTCAGAGTGTTGCTAAGATTCTGCATTTATGCCAACGTAAGGCATCCACTGACAAGATGTTGGCAGACTCATAGTCTTTACATAATCTATATTTACATTTTTAAAGCAGGCTGTAGGGTAGCCTAGTGGTTAAAGCGTTCGCTCGCCACACCGAAGGCCCGGGTTTGATTACCCACATTGGTACAAATTGGAAGCCTTTTTCTGGTTTCCCCCCGCCGTGATGTTGCTGGAATATTGCTAAAAGCGGCGTAAAACTCACTTTTAAAGCAATTTTACATTTTCTTTCATTATGGTCACGAATGAAAGTATTATGATCAACAAAATGTATACAATATCTCAACAAAGTCTATCAGTGATAATTGGTGAGCTTATTTGAAATTGTGTATATACTTATTTTAGGTAGATTAATTTCACTGTCAAGAATATGCTTTCTGCAGTTTAGGTCGGTGTTTGACTTAATTAGTTATGATTACTGATCTTATGTAAAACTTATATAAAGGGAGACATTATACTACTTTCTGAATTTATTTGATTTAGCTTGGAATTTGAATCCACTTCATTTTCTATTAAAAAAACGTGTGTTTTAATTCTATAAAAAAAAACTATAAATAGGGGAAATGCGCAATAGATGAGCATGGCTCGACGATCCTTCAATGTGAGCTGTGTAATATGGATGTGTTAGGTATACATATGACATACACATGTATATTGTGAAACTATTTACCTAACAAAGGTTAATAACTCTGTGTTAATCACACACAAGTCAAGTGCAGAAGGAAATGAAGTCAGTATACAAACACAGATCAATGTTCCCACTTGTCACGTTCAGTCTGCAGGGGGTAGCGACGTCCATGCCAACCACGTTCAGCGTCTCATCATCGATTGGTGAAATCTCAGTGTGTACAGATATAAATATTGACTTAAATCAAAAGTCACGTATGTGATCATTGTTGTGACGACAGTGCTAGAGTCGTGGGTTTAATATAATATGAAGGTCCATTATTACTCAAGGTTGGTAGCGCGCCTTTAACATAAAGGCCCATTCAGATGTATAGGGCTGTTGGGTAGCATTCAAGTATGGGGCTTTAATGGAATAGATCTAAAATGAGAGTTTCGCAAGAGCGTGTTGCTTGCTTTGTGGAAGTGGTTTCTGTGTAAATGTTCACCGGGAAGTGACGTGGGACAGCTTTAAGTAGCCTAAATATATTTTCCATAACTGCATTTCATTTATATATATGCTCACCCGTGCCTTAGTTACAGGCTTATACTGACTGAGTTTGGTTTTACGCCGCTTTTAGCAATATTCCAGCAACATCACGGCGGGGGGCACCAGAAATGGGCTTCACACATTGTACCCATGTGGGGATTCGAACCCGGGTCTTCGGCGTGACGACCAACGCTTTAACCATTAGGCTACCCCACCGCCCCGTACAGGCTTATAGTATTTGGCTTTAAAAGTACATTCCCCACACTGGTTTGAGAAGTCTTCAGGTTTGTTTGTTTTTGTTTAACGCCCTACACAACAATATTCTACCTGCGTGACGACGTATCCAGACTTGACCAGAATAAACTAGGGGTTGAAATCATGAGCATCGACTACGGAACTCGGGTATGACATGAATTAACCAAGTCAGCGGGCCTGACCACCCAATCCAGTTAGTCGCCTCTTACGACAAGAATGGTTTGCAGATCTCTAGTGTCGTCCTTGGGAAACTCGACAATATATGCATGTATAGTTCGAGCAAGCTGGGGTCTGCATTGATCATTGATTATTCCTTCGTCTTAAGCATTACATCGAGTTAAAAGGGTTTGAGACAAGTTGCATTAAAAATTTAGCTCTGTCGAAAGTTTGATTCAAGTCACTTACAAACATTGTTTTCTGCAAAGGTAATTTAGAATGCATCTCATCTTTCAGTTTTATCGTACAATATATAATTTTAAACAGGCAACGTATGTCTACATTTGCAAACATGGCACCAAGTGCTTAGGCTGGGCCTGGATTTGAAATACCGTATTTCCTCATTAGAGGAAAGCTTATCAATTCAGCCAACTCTCAGAACCGGCGCTTATTGGAGACCCGGCCCTCAAAGTTTCAACGGAAATAAATATAGATTCTCCATTGGTATTTCATTTGAAAACTCCATTGTAATCATGTGGCACACCTCGCGGTTATTGGAGATCTGGTGCTTATTTCTTGAACAGTTGCTTTAAATCGGGCGCTTAAATTGGAGGAAATACGGTGTAGGCCCCAGGCGAATCATATGTACTCTCAGAACACGAATATTCACTAAAAATGTATGCATTTATAACTTAAATACGGGTAGATCTACACTATTACATGATAAGTTGATAAGACAAGTCAGAGTTTAGTGCGAACTGTTAACATCACTTAGATTTACGAACGTACATCTATCGACATACATATTATCTATAGATCTGCGAAGCTCGATCAGTCGAGTTTGGCGAGATTAGTGGCACAAGACATGGCATTATCAGCTGTAAATGTGGGTGAAGCTTTCTTGCCCGAGTTCGACTGTAATTGCCACTGTAAACAAGGTGAAAAATGAAAACAAATGTTTAGGCATAACATGTAAAGTACACACTTCCGTTGATCTTATTGCTAATGACAACCCCGGCGACCAAACAAGCACCATTTGACAAGAACTGAATGCGACTTTGACATGTCGTGATTAGCAACAGGAAAACAATCCCACGTACAAGGAGACATGGTAGTTTTTACTTGGGTATAAGTGCATCTGTTCCGTTAAATGCAAATGACACTTATACGGATATCACATATATGTTATAGTAAATATTCAATAATAAAAATGAGTGTTTATATTTTCTTTTGTTGATATCTATTTGTAAAATTGAAGTATCATCCGAACCTAAATAAATGCTCCCGACAGGTAACCTGATTTGCATATGTTCTGTTAAGAAACTACTTTCCTTACAAGGTATATTAGTAGAGTCTGTTTTGGGACCATGGACAAGTTTAATCATAAAGTTTTAAACATTGTGTATTTTCCCTGGATTTTTTAATTGCGATATGGACAATCTCGTTTGCAAGAATGATAAAATTATAACGCTTTCAAAAACCTTGTGGCGCATGTATGCATATCAGTGGATCTTTCCTTTGGCGTAATATATGGAGTTTGAGTAACGGCCAATCGATGTACTTCTGGTCGATAAACCATATGTTATACTGGTGTCTGAATACATCTGATTTGGCTTGAAAGCAAAGCCTATAACCCTTTCGTCTTCAATAAACCAGTGTTTTTGAAATCTACAAGAAAACTATTATTGGGGAAATAAGGAATGAATGAGCGTTTAGAATAATATTATTCAAACCATTGCTCTTACTTGTATTTATAACTATATGGTCCAAAGAATACGAAAACGCTTCATCTAACGTAGGAACCACATTATACATACATGGCCGAAGATAAACATTTATAAGGGCCAAGAGTTAATTACACAAACTTTTTATTAAAAATCCATAGACACCTTTTACGTCAAAATCGATTTGTTAGTAGTCGCGAGGTAACTAGCATATATCTCATCCTGTTAAGATATGCGCATGCGTGCCATACCTGAGTAGTAACGTCGTCCGCTTTAGGGAGTCGTCATGTCGATATGACTATAGATCGTATTTTGACATTATGTACTGCTGGGGGTATTTTCATTTTATGGCTTGTCTGCTGGTTCAGTCATACTTTGGCTATCTTATACGGGTAAGTGTGAATTATCGTTGTTTTAGGGGTTAATTTCAGAGCAAGCACCTGCCGGCGGGAACGCCTCTAATCCGCCTTCAGATTCCAGACACAGGTGAGCGCACAAATACCAGGGAACCCGTGAAGGCGGTTGTCATGTAAATCATATGATACTCGCTTCAAATAACCCATGTTAAGCGAACTCGAACACGTTTTTCTACATTGTTATACAATCATAACCGAATATCATTTGATAATTGCCTATTTATTAGCCTAACAGTGAATCCCAGTGTGGTATAGATCAAGACAATATTATAAATAGTCTACTACTAGTACTAGAGTGCATAAATATTCACCCACAATTGACAAATTTGTGCAACTGTCTATAAAGTTATATAGCCCAGGGTGACACCCATTTCTTTTACTCGTGTCAGGCAATGGATTATCTTATGATATGTATGATTAGATGTAAATTCATCAATAAGTCAGACAGGAATATCGCCAATATAATCTAATCTGATACAGTTACGAATGGTATGTTATCAAGTTTGTAGAATCTATTTTATAACTATCAAATTTAATCTTATATGACCATTAGCATCTTCGAACCATGTGTATGGTTTTTAGGAAATTGTGTTTGTATAATTTGAAAAGAAGTCTTCTCATACTGATTTGACTTCTAAATGTTGAATATTAATGTAGTTCTGGATGGCGCAAAAGAACTTTGGTTCCTGGCAGTTGAATATGTTCTGTTGATATATAATAATAACATGAGTCACAGCTTCCCCCTGATTATAGTTTCTCTTCTCTGGGTTTCTTCTCACATAATGCTGACAATGACATACCCTTCAAAAAGACATGACAAATCTCACTGAATCTGCTGCAAATATTAAGGAACCTGACATGTGACCTCTTGTGCATAAGTCGAAAGTTAATTGCTTTTGTGATCGTGAAATAACATAATGTTTGACTTTTGTTACCTGTTCGATATGTGGAATACTAGGAATAGTAATGTCACTTTGATTGTGATTATTCAGATATGCATAATCTTGTCCAACACCAGATTTGTCATTTATTCATTGAGGCTTAAAAACCTTAATCTTCAAATTGTGTAATGTATTCATGTATTTTTATTAGTGGTGTTCCGATTAATTGAAATAATCGAAGATTGGTCGCAGTGGCCAAACGACCAGCAATCGATCACATTTTCTCATACTCGAACACAAACGATTTATGAACCGCTGTAATAGAGTTTGAAATACTTGATGATAGAACATATCTAGGAGGTTGTCAGGGCCTGAAAACGTGTTTATTTCTAAGAAAACTCACTTCACTTTCTGAAAAGTCATGACCGAATATTTCTTGAAGAATCTGGGAAGTTGATGTTACATTGGAACTGAATCATTTTACACTGGATGTGAAATTTGCAAATGTAATTTGTGCAGTTTCAAAAAACTACAACAGAGAACCAAATGTTTTTTCTTTATACTTATCTGCAACTACAACCTGAATAGGAAAATCTAAAAAATGATGCGAACCAATTGTTTTCGATGATTGGTCGTTGGTATTGAACCAATCATCAATTGTGAGATTTCAGCCAATTCCCAACACTAATGTTTATATCATATCATGAATATAACATGTGACTGAAGATGTGGTTTGTTTCCGTATTCAAGGTCTACTGATTGTTTACTTTCCTAATCCACATGTCCAAGAACTATAATAAACAATTAATAACTTGACCTGTCAGTAATATGTAGAGAAGAAAACCAAACTTTAATGGAACTGATGATACGTATTCTGAATTTCTATAACATATGTAATCAACATTTGCAAGATCACAGCACTGCTGAAATTGACACCATTGAGTTATGATTGGCTTTCTTTTCTTGAAGTCATCTTATTTTATTCTAATCCAGGAAAAACTTTTCTTGTAAAACGCAAATATTATGGATGACAACTTCTTCTTTATTATATATCACAACGTTTCTGGACTATTCCTTGTCCCTTCGTCAGGTGAATTCGTCACAGTTCACCTGACGAAGGGGAAAGGAATAACCCCAAAACGTTGTGATATTCAATAAAGAAGAAGTTTTAATCCATAATATTTGCGTTTTACTTGAACACCAACTTCTAAATGTCTCTCAAGAACCTCAAAACTTTTCTTGATCATTTGATTATTAAATTGTATATTCCAGTGACATTGTTTAACAATGCTGTACCCATTTACATGTTGGAGATAACGTGACGTGAGTCATGGATTCTGTCTCTTTGTGATAACATTGATTATGATAGATAGGTCAGGCTTGCTATATGTCAGACAGTTAATGCCCTACTTGTATCATGGCTATTCTTGCATCATTAGTAATGTTGCAGTGTGTGTAAGTTTAGTTGTATGCCGCTTCTAGCAATATCCCAGCAATATCATGGCAGGGGACACCAAAAAATGGGTTTCACCACACATTGTACCCATGTGGGGAATCAAAGCCGGGTTTTGGGTTTGACGAGCGAACGCTTGAACCTCTAGGCTACCCTACCTCACTAATGTTGAAATATAATTAGCTGGGTTGTTGAATAAGAAGACTTCATAATTCAAGATCTGTTGCCATGGATATGAGAATATTGTTAGTGTTGATAGTTTCTAATGCTTCTTATAGTGTTCATAATTAACACTTGGTCTTCAAGTCCTGTGATAAAATTGTAGTTAGCATGTTGACATAATTTGTATTGGGTGCTTGTTTCAATCACCCGTAATCACAGAAACCATGGTAACGATTATGTAATGATTATATATCTGGTATAAAGTGAAAACAAGCTCATTTATTATATATCAGCTATACAGTTCCGCCAGAAAAATACCAAAAACATGAAAGAGATAAGGGTTTGGGAATGTCAAATAATGTATATTTAGGAAACTGGAAACATCCATGTTGTCCGACTGAAGGTGTCTGAAAATCACTTGTATGTACTGAGCAGTATTAATGGCAAGTCTTTGATGTGGAGGTAAAAGATAGTTTGTCTTTATAGTGATATAATTTAATAATTTTTTTCTTGTTTATTATTTACCTACTGATCTGATTCATATCTCACCAAGCATTGCCAAATGTCCTCTATGGTTTGAATATGGAGAAGTATCTACATGCCTCAAATAACATGTCCCAGTAGTCTGTCTCACAGTCCCTGAACCACATTATTTTCCCTACCGCCAAGCCCTCTCTGCAGTGCTAAAGCCCTAAATAAAGATTCCTCAGGATCTGAATCTCTGGTCTCCCTGGGGCTCCTTTTCAATTTAAATGGTTTTGTTTGTTACAATCAAAATTATTTGTATTCAGAGACTAAGCATTTGTCTAACCAGGTAGTTGTGGGGCTTGAATCAATGTACTCACTCACTCACTGTCAGCAGGTCAGTGCAACAGCGTATATCTTTTGTCCTGATGCCGGATCAATATTGGCTGTTGAAATCACAATGGTTCTTCAATCATAGCAATTCTATACCATGTTACTTACAGTCCATATGACACAGTTACATATGCATAAAAATGTTTTGTCAATATATTGAACTTCACCAGTCATCTGTGGACACATGTTGCATATGTCGCGTTATTCACCTGATGATGTTTATCGAGTGTGAAGACAAGTATGGACTAGGTGTAGGCTGCAATTAGAAGATAAAGCTACTCTGTTTTCAATTTTGCGGTCCTTTATCGTTGATTTGAGACCGCTAATGTAATGATTTAAGACCGCTAAATGTAATTAAAAAACCAAACATGTTAGCGTCAGGTTTTAAATTAAACATTTAGCGGTCTTAAATCAACGATAAAGGACCACAAAATTGAAAACAGAGTAGCTTTATCTTCATTCTAGCACGACTGATAAGCATTTTAAAACCGAACTGTTTGGCACGCGCAAGAACACAAGGCGTGAAGGGGTCTTTTTCCTGGAAATCGCTTGGAATCGTCTTGTTGAGGGACAGGTTGTGTAATGAACAAAATAAGACATTTTCAACAACATAAATGCTTTATTTCAGGAACCAGTATGCTTGTATTTGTAACAAGTAGCATACATAAATAAAAAAAAGTACAGTTCATACTGTGAGCAAGTACAATTATTTGATTTTGCTTAAGCGATTTATTGATCTCCCCTACTGTATGACAATCAACTCGCCGAAATTCAAGCCGTGACCTCGCTAAGTTTAGTCGCCGCTAACTTTATTCACGAAAATAATTGTTGATAACCACCCTACTATTCCCAATTTGGAAAAGACCTGACATGCCACGTTTTATGTGGGATGCATGGACAGTGGAAGGGGAAGGACTGGGCATTACGGCCGGGACGGTAGCAGTCAGGTTAGGACGTGTGGGCCGACGTGTGTTGTCGACATCAACACACGTAGATCTGGACCCGGTTAGAATATACCGCCACTTTTGCGCTGCTGACGGATTTTCCAGCTTCGTAGTTTCTTCACTGGGATTAGGGTCAAGAAATTCTTCTTCAAACCATTCGTGTTTTACTTCAAAAACACCAAAGATGCTGCCGAGATAGAAATTGTCGATGTCAGACATATTTGTTTACAAACAATAGGGTCAACGAGTTAGTTGTATTCATACGCGGTGAATTGGTCACTTTAATTAGCGGTCTTAAACTGCCATTTAAGTATGGTCTTGATGAGCTCTCAGCCAATCAGAATCGAGTATCACACAATGTCGTGCCAGAATGTACATTCAGTCTGTTGATCCAGTGTTAATGGTGATAGTTCTATGGCTACCTAGTGAGTTCCCGGGTCATTTGGTCTCACAGACCCTGGACCACATTATTTCTCCCACTGCCCAGCCTTCCCTGCAATACTAAAGCCCTAAATGAAGTAAGTCTAGATTCTGAATATCCAATGTCACTGGGGCTCTTTTTCGATTTAAATGGGATTATTTGTTACTATAAAAATGATATATATTCAGAGACTAAATGTTCGTCTACAGACAGGTCATTCTATAGGATCACTATCCAATGTGTATACTATTTGGAACACATATTGTGATGCACTTTTGATCATTAAAACGCATGAGAAGTACTTTGTTATGATATTTTAGAACAGGTTCCAAAATGAAAAGCGGACCTTTTTATCCACGTCCTTTGTATAGTTGCATCTGATTCAACTGAGATATGAGGCCAGGGTGCAACATGGTTTTTATCTGGTGCAGCTAACGATTCATGTCAGAATATACCTGGTGCAAGGTGGATCCAACTTAGTGTATTGGGCCTTGTAACAGGTGGTTAATGTAGGCAGATGTTTGAACAGTTTGTCTTAAAACACATTGTCTGCTGTAGACAATGGTTTTAGAATACATGTGATATGCTTGAATCAATGTAAATGTTTTCAGGTACAGCATTGTTCGCGTTAATGCAAAAACCTGCGTGTTTCATGCAAATAAATCTACGTTTCACGCACAATGTTTTCTACCTACGTATTCTGCATGCAAAACATTTTGTCCTCTGAGAACAAGTAACCGAAAACGCATTTTCCCCAAGGAAACAACAAAATAAAATATAGTTTCTCTCAGCTAATTTGACTTGCGAATGATGACAACATGCTCTGAAATGCAAGGACATGACGTCTACATTTCACAATTTTACACACACATAATTTTTTCCAACAAATTAAAATGAAAAAGTAACACTGGAGAAGATAGTTTAGATGGAAGATACATTTTTAGCTAAAGAAAATAATATACCTGTATGTAGTAATGAGTCAGTTTTAATGGATCTAATTAATATTTTTCACTTTCATCAGATTACGTGTCAAAGATTTGACATCAGGGCATTTTTTTATGTTACTATGTGTTGACATTAGTTTAATTACTGAACATGTTGAAAACTATACTACTCACACTTTGCTAAGGATCACAAAAATTCACAACTTTACTTAAACATAGATTTATAATTTGAAATTGTATCCATTTAAAACTGGATAGGTAATAATATGGTATCCCCTGTTTAGGCAAACACTCACTTTAATCTAATGCACATGATACATGAGTAACCATAAAAATGGTTTTCATGGCACCAATGTACCATTTTGCAAATCATGGAACAAGTCATTGACAAGTAAACAACACGTGTCAGTAGCAGGTGTGGGATCCACAAGATGACATGAAATACTGAAACCTAGGATCCATACTTATAATAAGCTTAGATATTTAAACCAAATTTGACCCCACATCATAGTTTTCTGTTGAATTCATGATTTGATCCTTAGCAAAGTGTGAATAGTATAGTAACTAGTTGCTGGCACGAAACATCAAACGGTAAGAATAAAGAGTTTGAAATCCATTAGTCAGTTCTTTTTTGTTCCTGCCACTTCTGAATATTGACTTGCAGGTATTCATGTAACCACCCAGATGGCATTTTGATCGTTATTCTAACGTTGGCAATGTTGGCAAAACCATTGCCAACGTTGGGTCAACGTCTGAATGCTATCTGGGCATGGCCTGGTCTTAAAGGTTATCTTGATACAGGCCAGCATGATATAGTTGGAACATTATCGATGTGGCATAAAACACCATTCATTCCCTCATTGATTCTGCTTATACGTGATTTTCTTGGCCATTCTGAAACTTATTTACTAATTTTTAATAGTAATCTTTGGACACATTGTATTAAAACTGCTTAGTTCCAAAAAGGGAACCAGTCTGAAAGCCTGTTGTTACCATGGCTACCTTGTTTGTTGCAGTAAATGGCTCCTTCATCGGGTTCCCCATGACGTGTCCCCTGAGGACCGGCAGGGCGTGTCCATCATCAAGCCCCTCACTGGGGTGGACCCTAACCTCAAGACAAACCTCACCACTTTCTTTACCAGCAACTACCCCGCAGTAAGTATAAACTACGCCATGTTCCACATTGGATAAAACAAGCTTAAGTGATGGCTAAAGATTTCAATACATTAGAAAGATGGTGTGCATTGGTGCTCATTTTTATATTTGTTCAGTATTTATAAAGGTTCAAGACCCCATTAAACCTGCGGATAAAATGTTACATTCTGGATGGGCATGTGGCTGGTACTCAGATGAGTAACAGCTGTCGTTGCGCGAGTCAGTTGTTGATGGCAGTGATTGTAGATCGCAACAGTTTTGACTCATCCAGCCTACCCATTTCAGATGAAGTAGGCATAGAAAAGTTTTTCACTCACCTTCAGAACTGTCACATGCCAGATGGTAAAGTGGAGTCACCAGTCTATCCTCTCAGACTAGCAGACTTGTGAACCCTGCCACTCACCGTGTTCACACTACAGACTGCTATTAGGCCTTTGACAATAACAATCTACCCGTGAAAATCCGGGTTAAAATTGATCTTCAGTAACCCATGCTTGTCGTAAGAGGCGACTAACGGGATCAGGTGGTTAGACTCGCTGACTTGGTTGACACGTCATCATATCCCAAGTGCGTAGATTGATGTTCATGCTGTTGATCACTGGATTGTCTAGTCCAGACTTGATTATTTACAGTCTGCTGCCATATAGCTGAAATATTGCTCAGTGTGGCGTAAAACTATACTCACTCACTCTTTGGTGACAAGAACCAGGATCTACAAATTACCATTCCACCAACTGTATCGTAGAACTGACAATGTAATTTCAAAACCAGTTCTCCCATAAACCTAGTATGGTGATATAAGAGCAGTCCATGACGTATTTACGTATAATTTTGACCGCAAGATAACCATTATGTCATTGGTCCCATTTTAAGTGTGTGTTTTATATGAATCTAAACATTACTTTTCTTTTAAATTTGGTACAAAAATTGAATCCCCTGACATAATCTGGGTACAATGTGTGAAGCCCATTTCTGGTGTCCCTTGCTGCGATATTGCTGGAATATTGCTAAAAGCGGCGTAAAACCATACTCACTCACTCACCCTTGCCAGCAGCCAGTTTCAACAGGTAGTTTATGATGTGTTGTAAATAATACTCTTCACATGAGCATTAAACCCAACTCGGCCAACATCAAGTAAACATTGCATAACCATGTACTGACATCCTACACAAGCACAAACCAAGTTAGTCTATGTCCTGATGACCAGATTGAATCATGCTTCATGTGGAGCACAGTGAAATATCTGCAGCATTCTGGTCTCATTCTCGTGTGCATGCTCTGAATAATACATCGTTGCATCAATTACTGTCAGCTTGGGACTAGCCTATCTCTGTCTATGTATGTTAATGGCATCACTAAACATGGTAGAAACAAGGACTGCATGGTATGACTGGTAGGCACAATGTCATACACTTTTCAAACAATGATTCATGGGACATTTTTTTCTGACCCAGTATATTAGACAAAATATATGACATGTTTCCTATCATTTGTATTAATTGATCTGAGGTCTACACAGAAATTCATTCACAAATGGCATTCCCTTCAAACCTGATTGGCCAAACAATAGAAAGGTGTAAGTGAATTTTCTCTTGTGCCATTTCACTCATATACATGACTACAAACTGACAACACTTGGCCCTTGTCAGTAATGTTTACCTCAGTACAGAAAAAAGGATCTGTATGTAAAACATGGTACATACTGTTTCACAGTATTTTTTAATACAGGTTTTTTTTATCTTTACACAGCTCTAGTAGAAGCCGACTAACGGGATCGGGTGGTCAGTTTCGCTGACTTGGTTGACACATGTCATCGGTTCCCAATTGCGCAGATCGATGTTCATGCTGTTGATCACTGGATTGTCTGGTCCAGACTCAATTATTTACAGACCGCCATATAGCTGGGATATTGCTGAGTGCGGCGTAAAACTAAACTCGCTCACTCACTCTAGTAGAAGCAATTGCTAGATTCAAATAACCAATGGGGTGAAAAGTAATTTTCATTTTCTTTTAAAGCTTCCCTAGCAACCTACTGTTGTCTTCAGGGCAGGTTTGGTGGGTAATGGTATCAACCACTGGTGTATCACACCATCACTGATTAGTCAAAGATTGCGGGGCGGTAGGGTGGCAGTGGTTTTAGCGTTCTGGTGTTCCCCTGCCGGATATTGCTGGAATATTGCAAAAAGTGGCGTATAACTAAACTCACACTCGCTCACTATTCATATCTCCTGACTACTGCTGTGTGAAGCTTTGAACAAAGAAGATCAGACAAAACAAATCTGACTCAATATTAGAGTGGGCTACGTAAGTGTAGAAAAAGTTATGCATGTTATGAATACACAATGCCATTAGAAAGTGGTTACATGTAAATCATGTTATACCATGCCGTCATATGATTCCGTGGTACTTATGTTTCCGTGGTATTTTCTAATGACATAATTTCTCACGAGCCACTCACCAAATCGCACCACCTATTGATTGTTTACGTTCATCAGTCGATCGGCACGGCTCTGAGCAAAAAATGTTCGGACTTTCATCAATTTGCGTATTTACAGTCATCTACTATTAAAAACTAATGCAACTTTATGTCTAGCAGGTAACGCACTTTTTGTGCGATCTTTACAAACATTTTCTATAAACTTATTCAGCTTCAAAGTTTTCCAAACATGACTCGTCTGCAAGCTGATGTCATCAATAAAAACAATCACGTGACCTAAGGGGGGAAATCCCAGCTCTATTTTTTAAACTATGGAAGCCCGATAGGGTCATCTCTTAAGTTGTTTTTTCACTTTTCATTTCACATATCCCCGTTGATCAACTCTACATATTTTATGAACTGGAAATTTATGTTGAAGAAATGTGACTATTGTGTTAATTCTACAAAATCGTTTACTGTATTACAATTTATCAACTTCGTTATTACTGTAAACCTACATTGACACTCACGGATAGGCTGTTGAGAACGTGTGAGATTGTGACATGTGCTGTGCGCCCGTAATTTGATCTGTAGGAAATACCACGGAAACATATGACGTCACCAGATTTTGTGCACAATTGCCGCCTGTCGTCCGATACGGACAGCGATGAACTTCAGAATGACAAAAGTGTTTTATTGACATTAAATGATACAAAGGTATGTCTTCTAACACTATGTTGTGTTTATATGACTTGGCAATATGAGCGATTGATTCATAGTCGTAAATGTATTAATACCACGGAAACCCTTGATGCGAGGGTATTTGGGATTCAACATAATATGTTGATGTTGTTTTGCAAATGTCATTTTGCAACTTGACCACAAGAATGATGAATATGACCAAATAAGTGAAATGGTTTCGAAAAAATCAATTTGAGCTCGTCATTTTAAATATTGGGCATGTGAAAGTTCTGTTTCCACATTTGCTCCAGGTCCTGCCAACGCTGACTAGCTGTCTAAGCCCAGTTTTACACCCAGTGTTATGAACTATCAGAACATCATTGTACTAAGGTTGCATAATTATCTTCCTTTCATCAACCCGCTAATTGTTGTGATCCGCCACCACTGACAGCTCATATTGTATGGCTGACACAAGCTGTTCGTGTTGTTACTATTACCATGGAGACAGTTAACCAGTATAGCCTTCACCTTTATCTGTAACGTTTACGCTGGTTAATGGATAGAATATCTGTTTCTTCAAACGATCTTTCTAGTGTTTATGTCCTGATATATTTGTTCCGTGATTCCATTATACATAAGAGATGACAATGATTGCTTATATTGTAATAATAGATCACCTGATGGCTGTTCGAAGTGAAGGGGTGGAATCGCCTAATCGTTCATTTAGGTCATGTTTTGTGACATTTTGAAATCAGTATTTTAAGTCTTGCACAAAATGTATGAATAAATCAGCAAAACTTGAGGAATTGTCGTTAGAGATAGGGGCGGTGGGGTAGTCTAATTGTTAAAGCGTCTGCTTGCCACACCGAAAACCCGGGATCGATTACATGGGTACAATGTATGAAGCCCATTTCTGGTATCCCCTGCCATGATATTGATGGAATATTGCTGAAAGTGGCACAACCCTGTACTCACAAACTCAGATATAGCATAAGGGCTGTTATTTAAAGTTAGATTTCATGATCTTTGAAGCATTTCTGTGCTTTGTTCCTGAGATATTGCTTAGACTTCGCAGTCAGTAGATTTCATGATCTTATCAGTGCTTTGTTCCTGAGAATATGGCTGATCAGAAGCTATATGCTGATCTTTTATTGGGTTCTTCCTGTCATCTCCCATCATGTCAATTCGTATTGAGTTGATCACTGAATTGTCTGGTCCAGACTTGATTATATACAGGACGGCTGCCATATACCTGGAATATTGCAGAGTGCGGCGTAAAACTAAACTCACTCACTCGCTCAATTTCGTATTGCTCTTGGAGATTAAACGATGATGCTGCTCTAAACTAATCATCACCACAAAACATGTAATTATAAGTTAAAGGTGTTTCAATGCAAACGACTGTTTTACAGTGAAGGTGCTCCAGAGAAACGAGAGGGCTTGGCTCTGTCTTTACATGTCACAAGAACCGTAAAGCAGACTGAAAGCGACTTGTTGACATTATTTCAGAATGTGTGTTATCTTTCTTCTGAACAAGAAATATTGCCCATTACATACCTGTAGCTTGTGCTTTATCAGGTGGGTTATCTCTGGATTAGATAAACATGTTAGTGTTCCTGAATGTTACAGTCATGTTTATATCCAGTGTGTGCAGTCAGTGGAAGGAGGAATGCATGTAATGCAGGTCAGGACAATTATGGTCAAAATGAAGCACAATGGGCAGATTCTATAGGGCTTTAGGGACAAGGCATGTATAAGGTAGCCCAGTGGTAAAAGCGTCTGCTCGTCACGTCGAAGACCCGGGTTCGAATCCCCACATGGGCACAATGTGTGAAGCCCATTTCTGGTGTCCTCCTTGCTGATATTGCTGGAATATTGCTAAAAGCGGCATAAAACCATACTCACTTACTTCACTCATTTTTACAAAATTTCTACAAAATTTCTACTTAATGTCACTGATGAAATATTTCCAACTAAAATTATTAAATTGATACACAACATGATTCATGTTGGTGGCACTTTCAATCTGACATCTTAACATGGGTGTGGCCATATTGAATGCCAGTGCACATAGCAGGAATCTGGTTTGGATGATAACACAGTTTGTGGGTCCAGGACAAATGAAGCTGAACTATTCTTGCAGCCTTGATAGTGTTTAGGAAACTGATCTCTCAAGTTTACAGATTTACATGATGTCTACTGATTTATTGAACAAAAAATTGAAATGATGTTTTAAGTTTTAACTGGATCATCAAAAGGCATGGGCACACATATTTTCACAAAGGCACACCTGAATTGGCACCGTTCTAAAAATGCATTTCTGTTCCTCATGCTATATATGGTAACTCTAATGTTGATGTTTTCGAGGGCAAAGACACATTCAAAGCATTTTCTTTTAAAGATGGATGCTCTCAATTAATAAGAAGAAAACTAATCAATCGTGTATTGATCACGGGGACTTGATTAGAAATAACACTGAATAGGCTTCTTTGAGTGGCATTTTAGAAGTTGGAAGTCAGATAGAACAAGTATATATGGATGACAAATTGTTTTATTCTGGAGCACTACGTTTCAGTATTGTACTTAATGATACTTAATTTTCATACTTGAAAACGATACAAGAACCTGTATCAAAACATCGAGCTCTAGAATAAAAGAAGTTCTCATCCATATATACTTGTTCTGTCTAACACTGAATAGGGACAATAATCAATCTCAATTCCATTTTGAGTGGCATTTGGTGTGTACTTGGTATCTTATGTCGGACCATGTAATGTTCAACATGTACAGTATTTTTAATTTTGTTTTAATTCATCTTTTTTTAGGTACAAAACATGTACAGTATTGTTTATGGCAGTAATGGGCAGAGAGACACACGCACACGCCCACACACCCACACACGCCCACATGCACACACGCCCACAACATGTTCCGTCAAATAATCTAAAAGAAAAATGCAACAGAATCTAAAATAGTTCACATGATTACAGTTTGCCCTTTTTGTGCATCAATTGTATCATCTGTTTTTATTAAAGCTTCTATTATGCAGTCATAGTGTATCCCTGACCATAATGTACTACACTCGTGGTTGTCAAGATCACACTGTCATTTGGATTTATGTACACAGGTGACATGTGAAATTTGTGTCATGTAGAGCCAACTTACATAAGCTTCACAACATGCCGTCAGTGTAGGATTACCTGTCAGGTCACAATGTCACGGTCTGCGGTAACTGGAGGCTCACTCTCAGTATTACCTTCATTGACATTATATACACTTTTTATGTGACCCAGTTTTTGAGGTATCCAAAGCTTCAAACTCTGAAGTACCACACCTCAGATACCTGTAGGTCAGTTAACATCCAACACACAAATGTTGACAGAATGGTTTATGTATCAGCATAGGAAAGTAGTACGTCTAACAATCGTGTCGCCCCACCCCTGCATTGAGCAATCGGGTCAGCCTGTTCTTTACTTCCCCTGACTCACCTGGCAGGTATTGTCATGCCCATGTGATGATAAGGAGGGTAGCCTAGTCACAGGTCAATCGTGTAAATGAGTAATCATCTGCTGTAAATCACATTTTTTACCTATTTAAGCTTGTGACAATCATTTTTGTAAATTTGGGCTCTGTGGATTAATTTAACTTCCTGTAATTGTAATAGATTTATTACTTTCACAAGTGGTTTGCACTTCCTTGTAGGTTTCTGGTGTTTGAAGTTGTGTCCCTTTGCTGTGTAAGGATCTGCTGATCATTGGTTTTAGTTAATGGTTTTTATCTGAATACTCTTGTTTATTGCGTTTCACCAAAGTTGCCTTACATAAACACAGGTTCAGTTAACTCAAAGTGATATTAAGCACATTTTAAACGTATAAACCCAATGGAATTCTTTTGGAACCAATTCTACAGTTCACAGGGTTATTGAAAAGTTGAAAACATTCAACACACTCACAACACTGCATTTAACCAGAACATTTAATTCATTATCATTTTCAATCCACAAAGATTTACTAGCCAATTCTAACCTCTTCCTTCACATACAGCCCACACAACATACAGCAATATTTTCCTAATTTCATAGCAGGTATCAAACTTCACAGAATCATGTTTTTTAATATGAACAATGAAATATGGAAATAGGCACTGTATAAAGTATTGGGAATTCAGCACATAAGCTTACGCTAAACAAATGTGTTTGTGTTTCAGTATGAGATTCTCTTCTCTGTACAAGATGAGCAGGACCCAGCAATACTGCTAGTCAAAAGTTTAATGGAAGCCTATCCAAAGGTGGACGCGAAGCTGTTCATTGGTAAGTGGTGTTGTGACTTTCTTCAGATATACTTCACAATCTGCCCTTGTTTGATAACCCCACATTTGTTTCTTGTTTGATATTAATTATAACCCCACATTTGTTTCTTGTTTGATATTAATGATAACCCCAAATTTGTTGCTTGTTTGATATTAACCCATTCAACACCGTAGGCCGGAAAACCGGCCAAGACGTCACGAGTCCCCACACACCGTAGGCCGGTAAACCGGCCAGACAGTAGTCACATCAAAATTATATATAATTTTAGGAACCTAACTAACATATGATTCTTTTATCAAATCTATCACTTTTCACAATGTCTGAAAACACTTATTAAATTTCAAATTACCATATATTATCAACAGGATTAGAATTATAAACTATGTTTTGCAATGTTATTGAAAAAAACAATTCCCAGACACATGCTTCGGCAGCAGGCCCTAAATAACATTGTCAAAGAGCAAAGTAACGATGTTTCGAGGAAATCATTAAATAAATTGAATAAACTAATGAATAAAATCAACAACAGCATTCATAAAAGATGTCAAACGTACATATAAAATTACTATTTCCATCTTTTTGTGCGATCATGTAAAGTAAGTCAAGTCACTGACAAGTGACATCTAGGCTCTTGACGCCTCAATCTTCACGCTCGGACACGATGTTTAATGCGAAAATATATGCATGAAGCATGTTTGTCACAGGTCATAACCTACCACGCTACGTCCAGTAAGTTCCATAATTTACATATAGGTAGCGATTTCTTGCTTAATATGTTCAAAATAGCATTATTTTCCCCAAAACCTTCGTCTAAATCTAAAAGTTTTCGTTTACGAGGACGGTATCCATTGCTGTAATATGATTGGCTGCCTTAGGTCACGTGTCTGATTTTGACCAATCACGACCCTTATAGCAGACTGTGGCGAAAAAGCGTCATTAGAAACCAATCTTTATCCAATAAAATCGCTTCTTACAACTGTGAAAATACTCTCGGCAAGGGTACAGTTATGTTGTTGATGTTCAGAGCTTTCAAACGATACCCGACATCAAACGATTTGCCTCCCATGTTTTTCATACAAAGTTTCGAAAACGGAGGTATTTTCCGTTGTTATGTCATGTTACCGAGCGGAAAGCCACTGATTTCGGGAAATAGGCGACCATACATATTATTTAAGAAATCTTTTTATAATAATTTTCTGATTACGTAAAAATGAAAATATAAAAGAAAAAGGCACAGGCATGTTATGACATGTCACAAATGGAAAAAAAATCGCCATAATTTTTGCTTCTTTCATGGTTTATCTGGACTTTATAAATGTAAGCTTGCATTTTCATTCAAAAATAAATTTATTTAAGTTGTAGTTGTATTATTTGAATAACATTATAAAAATAAACTTCATATTTATCAACAGTAGGATTAGATCTTTTAAATGGTGTATGGGATGTAGTAGCAATAACGTTTTACAAGCTTATAATTTCCTTCATAAACATAGGCTTTATCTATGACCTCAGAGTCTCTGGGAACTCTGTGTCATGGCAGTAAATGCCTCTGGTTGACTGGTGTTGAAACAGTTAATGATAACCCCACATTTGTTGCTTGTTTGATATCTCCACATTCAACACCTATGTAGTACAACACATTCAACAGCTATCATTCCAATTTGATACCCTCACATTCAACGCTTATGTGTTCCCCTCAAACATTTAGCACTTGTTTGATGCTTACATATTTACCAGCCTGTGAAGATCCGGATTAAAATTGATCTTCAGTAACCCTTGCTTGTCATAAGAGGCGACTAAAGGGATCAGGTGGTCAGGCTCGTTGACTTGGCTGATACATTTCATCGTATCCAAATTGCATAGATCGACGCTCATGCTGTTGATCACTGAATTGTCTGGTCCAGAGTCGATTATTTACACACCGCCGCCATATAGCTGGAATATTGCTGAGTTTGGCGTAAAACTAACTAACTCACTCACACCACAATTCAATACATCAAGGCTTTGATGAGTAGAATGGCATGGTCCCAGTGCTGGTCAAAAGAGCTTATATGGATCATTAGGTTTTGGGTTCTCTGACTTGGCTAACTGCATGAAATATTGCTAATGTTTTCAGTCATCGGTTTGTGTTGTCCACTCTTTGATTCTTTACACGGTGCTGGGATACAGATGGGATATGTGTAGAATAGCTGAGTGAGATGTGGTGCATATGTTGCCTACGCAGCAATTCAGAATTAAGTGGTATAAAAGCTTAGATTGCAAATGTGTTTATTCCACTTATCATGTATATATCCTGTGCCGATTTCCTCCCACAATAAAGCTGTATGAAACAGAGCAAAACGAAATTCACTATGCTAAATATCTTTTGAGGAGTGTCGTCACATTCAAATTGTATAAATCATGCTTGACTAGTCAAGATCATAACAATGTTAATTTTAAAAATTAAGTAGAGCATGTAGAGGGAGCAAATATTTAAATCCACATTTCAACAGCAGTGAATTGAGGTCTTATTCATGCCCAAAAAGATGATTCACTTCAGAACGAGTTTTAGAAAGGTAGGGCATGCCTGTTATCTCTGTATGCCATACTAATATGGAATTCAGTCTGAATGAGGGTGAAGGCATTTAAAGTGGAGCTGAACAAACTTTGGAAACAAAATGACACTTGAATGTGTTCGTAGGTAAAATATTTTTTAACAGAATATGCCAAACAGGCTTGATGAAAGAAAAAAGATAATGAATCCTTTTTTCTTTTTCTATTTGTTTCCTGGTATTTAGCTTTATGGTTATTTGTGACCATTGCTGTGTATGTAACATTTGTGTCCACGATACTGTCAATATTTTCTGCTTCTCGGAACTTTTGTGAAGACCATTTCTGAATATTGCTTAAATTTTAAGCGTTAAACTAAGTTTGCTCGCTCACGCACGCACGCACTCACTCACTCACTCACTGCTGTAGCATCCATTGTGAGATAAGTTGCTCAGGTGGGCCCAGATGCTGTCACGCATGAATGTGTTCCTCGGAAATGGGACACTATCACAGCTTGCTGTACAATAGATGCCACTTGTTCCTTAAACCCCATTTCACTCCCGCCTTGTTGGCCTTTTCAGGGACAACTGTCTGTATGCAGTGATACCGTGGGAGTTGGTCTCTAGCAACTTATGTTCATTGTAAAAAGTGAACAAATGGTTTAGGTGCTCAGGTTTTGTGAATTCGTTGATTGTGTGTCATCTACTTCGATGCACATGGATCTTTACTCACATCAGGCACTGGAGTGTCTCGTCTCGATTATTTACAGGCCCCTGACATAGCTGGAATAGGCCTGGATATAATTTCACCTCAGAGTTCTAAACGTAACACAGAGCACTGTTTTATATAACAAAAACAATTACCTGGCTGCCATCAATACCCAGAAACTTTAGAAGCTGCAGGCCCTCATTAAATACACTGCAGCTGATGGTGGCAGGTAAATCAACACTGAAATATACAGGCTACAAGGAGCCATACATGTTTGAAGATGTGACAAAATCAACCTGCCACAGGTTTACGAGCAGGACCATATTTCCATCACTGATACAGTGAAGTACAGTAATGACAGATGTAAGGGCAAACGTGACTGAATTTCAGGGTCATGTTCATTGCTTGTTGCTGGGTCATGGATCAGTGGAAAATGGAAATTTGTTTTGTTTCTGTGGACCCTTGTTGGCCAGTAAAACATTTCTGGGAAAATTTAATCATGGTTCCATCTGTGCAGGGAAGGTTGGGTAGCCTAGTGGTTAAAGCCTCTGCTTGTCACGCCGAGGACCCGGCTTCAATTCCCCAATGGGTACAATGTGTGAAGCCCATATCTGGTGTGTCCTGCCACGATATTGCTGGAATATTGCTAAAAGCAGCATAAAACTAAACTAAACTAAACTCATGCACTCACTCACTCACCAGTAAAACATTTCTGGGGAACTTTAAGTTTCCATATTTTTTGCAACATGTTCAAACACATTGTGAAGACGCGTCTCTGCTGCAACGCTCCATGTTGAATCATTAAGTACCTGTCAGTCTGGCATGTGGATTCAGAACAGCTTTCCCAGGTAGTCACACCTCACTGGGTTCCAGATGTCACCATGGCAACACACTAGACACCCCACCAGATCAGTCATGAAGGACTGGGCTGAGTTTGTTCCATTAGTCCAGTGATTCTATAGGCTGTAATTAATGTTTGTACGGGTATAGATCACTGTTTAGATGACTTTCATCACCCTACTGCTGTGTGCAATTTTTGTATATGGGGTGATTAACGGATATATAGTTTAGGTGTTTTGCAGTATGGCTTTGATTTTAGCAGAGTACGTTTGACACAATAGATAATGCTAAGCCATTCATTTCAGAAATTTGTACATCAATTTCATTCAGTCCACCTGATTATGTCACTGCATACAACTGTAGAATCGACATTTGGTTGATCATAATATTACCCATAACGTTAGCAGGACATTTTGTTGTGACACATTGGTCTTTTTGCTTGTTATTTCTGAAAAAATCACATGATATTTAAGTCAGTTATGATTTCTGGATATTATTTTGCCTTTTGTGATATTTCTTGAAATAGCAACTTTCAAGGTATTAGGTATCACATTGTTACGTATCTGTTGAGAGAAGCATCACAGAGTGCTAAGTAATTCTTGCATACAAAGTTAAAAAAAAAAAAAATCATTTTGTTCATACTTGTTTCTATTCAGAGCTGTTAAACATTGTATTTTGAGATTTTCCTTCGAAGCAATAATTAACATGAACCATTAATCAGACAATGGATTAAATTGTTTCAATATAATAGTAACAGTGCCATAATAAGCACAGGGCACATTTCAAATATTTTAATCTTGAAAGAGGCTGTAGACAAGGCGATCCTATCTCCCCCTATCTATTCATCATTTGTGCAGAATTATTATATTTATCTATTAAGAATAATACTTGTTTAAAAGGTATAGATGTTAATGGTGTTGAAT